AGGTGATTGAAGGCACAAAACAAATGTTTTCAGTAAAGGTACTAATTGAAAAAATATAAATAAAATACATTACATAATAATATGTAATATATAATAAATATATATAAACACGTTCAAAATGCAGTTTTCCTATCACCCATGCCTTTAAAAAGTCATTATATATAAAATGTTTCCAAACTTTTTTCTATGAATCATACAGTGTATACTGCATATCGACTTTCAGTTACACTTTTTAATATCAAGAACCTGTTACAAAGATGTGATTTTCAATTGCATATTATGAAGGTATGACTATTAAATTAAGAATATTTATTTTACTCTTAATGAGCAATGAGAGAAATGAAAATACACTGTCAATATTTAACTAATTATGAAGAACTGTTTTGTGATAATGTCTTAAGAAGGTAAAATTTAATATGTAGGATTGTTCTGCTAGCATATTATTTTCCTTTTTAAATTTAGGAGCGTAATACTTTGCATGGTGTTGCTCACAAATGCTCAGTACTTGGTGCCTTTTTTTCATACAAGGGAGCAACAAGGAAAAACTTCCTCGAAGGGGAAACACCTGCGGAGAAGGCCAAATAAATCATAAAAGGCGCTTCTTTCTGCCTGGCCGACTTCATTTGTATTTCAAACTGCCAGGGCTTTCGTGCAGTTTCTAGTGCTTTACTAGGCAATCGCATATGTTTGCCACACGTGTGTTCTTCACGCATGAGTTCCTCACAGTACTGCTCCTTCTGACCCAGCCGTCCCTGCTGCAGCTTCGGTGCTAACTTAGAATCAACACACGTTTAATGAGCACCTATTGTGGACCATCCAATACTAAAAACACTACCATAGGTTAGGTAGGGTTATTCCAGCATAACAGATGAGACATCTGGTTAAGTGGAAAACCAGGTCTTAGCCTGAATGCTTTCACTTATACTGTTTTCAAGTATCCTCTCTCTCTGTTGCCTCTCCTTCTTTCTCTCCCTTGTTTCGTAGATAATCAAGAGCAAAGTAGTAGAGATATGCTTAGCCGATCCCTTCCCCACAAAGTAGAAGAGAAAAACATCCAGAGTTCAGGGTTTCCACCACACTCCTCACTGCTCCCACCTAGAATAGGGCAGCCCGGCACTTCAGCCCTAACCCTGTTCCATAATGTCCTGCTCAGGTCCTGAAGGCACTATGTGCAATTACTGCTGAAGCAGCCCCTATAGTAGTGGAGGAAGTGTCCTGAGCAATGCTGTTCACAGCTCTGACAGATTTTCTACAGAGACACAGCTCCCAGTGTCTTTATGGGGATTATCAAGACTCTACAAGGGCTTAGAAGGGGTTGAACCAGCTTCCATGTGCAAGCTTGGAATCCTAAGCACAAATCAGAGCTTTGATTCCACTGGAAAAATCAGTTTTTTAAAAAATTAAGTCAATGGGAAACCAGTTTGAGGTCTCTACAACTGATACATTAACAAATTTGTGGACTATAATCCACTTATACTTGGGATTCAATGTTTACCTTCCAAGTTCACAGCACTATAAATTTGTAAGACTTGAAAGCACTATTTTTGTTGTGTTTAATATAAAATAGGGAAAGCTGTAGTCTCAAAATTAAAAAAAACACAGCTTCCTAAACTCATGTTTTTCTGTTACTCTTTTTTTACCTTTATTTTTAAAAGTATGATTCATTCGACTCCAGAGAAACTTCCACCAATGCAATATGATTGTGAAGGTCTTACTATTTTACTGCATACTTAATCGCTGAGCCAGTTTTATCTTACCTCCTCGATGGATAATCAAAGAAGTCTCGCTTCCAATGGGACAGTCCTTAAGGATATCCACTACTTCTGTATGGCTCAGGTTCTGTACATTCTGCTGGTTGATCTCAACAATGAGGTCGCCTTCGCACAGGCCAGGGCATCCCTGAATATCAAGTATTTGTTTCACCCGCTGTCCGGTCGGACTGTCGGCAATAGTGAAGCCAAAGCCCTGGGCACCTTTCACAATGGTTAAGGTCATGAGTTCAGCTTGGGTGGCCCCAGATGAAGCCATAGACACATTGTCGTCATGGACAGGCGGTGGATACGTGCCATCGAGCTGCCCATCTGCTGGCATGGAGTGCAAAGAATGAGGCGGCCGATCTGTTATGTCTGGAACCGACTGTGAGGTCCGAGAAATGTATTCCAAATACGTTTCATAGTTATGTCTGCCATTGACCATGACTGGAGGTGGCCTCTCCATTATTGCAAGGGGTGGCACCAGGCTGTTCGCAGGATCTTCAGGGTCAAAGGGCAAAGGGTAGCCACGACACAACACCAGGCTGACACTCTGACCAATAGGAACCGACTGGAAAAGTTTGACGACGTCTGCATGGGTGTGTCCAAGGACACAAACTTCATTAATATAGACAATGACATCACCTGCAAGAAAAAAAGAAAGAGATTGACCATGTGAGGTAAGTCCAATTAATGTTGGCATAGAGAAATGGAATTATGTATGAGATTAGTGAAAGTGGTGCTGTTTTTCAGTAAGCAGTGAGGAAGTCCATTAGAACCGAGTTTAAATGTACTGTAGGTGACTCAAGATTACAACAGGTCTGCCAACACATGTACTGATCACATGCTGAAAAAAAAATGCTATATGGGTTGTTTTTGAAGTTCAGAAACAACTTCATATTCAGAAAGAAACTGTCAAAAAGAAAAGTTGGGAAGAATTTGTACCTTGAAGAAGCAGTCAGTCTATGCTTCCTTTTTCATCTTCATTTTCATCTTCACTGTATTTCAGTTAATAACATTTTCAAACTATTGAGAAGTGGTGGGCATAAGTTTTGGATGAAACCTTTGAAGCCCCAGTACACGGTTTTATTTTTGGTATCACTTGTCTGAGTCAGCTGCCTTTTTATCTTTTTTATAGAAGAGGAAAATATTTTGCCCATTTACATTTTTTATCTAGAGCAGGTGTAATTGCAAAGGTTCCAGGCATACATGGGAATAGGTCAAGAGCACAGTTATTGGAATCAGGGATCTGGGTCCATATCCTGGCTCTACTGCTTAGCAGATATGTAACATTGGGCAAATGACTTACCGGCTTCAGCCACAGTTCCTGATTTGTAAAGTTGTTGCGAGGAGGAAATGAGATAATGCAGAAAAAAGTGCCTGGTACAGTGCCTGATGCATTGTGAGTGCACAATACATGTGGAACATTATTAATGCAATTATTGCTAAAAATAGGAGGAAGGAGATTTGGGACTCTGGCTTTCAAACAGGGAGCTGCCCTAGACTCATCCTCTCCTCTTACAATGTTGATATTTCTGTAGATCTTTTCAAAAAAGGCATTTGTCCTCTCTCCCAATGAATTAACACAGAATTACAGTAGCTTACTGGTTACAAGTTAACTTTATGATATAAGAAATGCCCCAAATGCAAATTACTCATTATAAAATATATTCAAACAAATATTACTTTTCCTTAAAATGCAGAAAGGTATGAGATAATTATTTTTTTTAATTCAATTATGGGTGAAGAACTTTATTTTTTGAGAACTGGTTTATCATGGATTAATATTTTTATCCTCATAAACCATAATGTTTGAGAATTGAACTTGCAAATTGAGATTGTGCCTGACTATGCTGAGGAGTATGTGACAAATGAAAAGACGTGTTTTCACAGATTATCACATAAGTAACTCAACAGACATGAGTTTATCAGGATCATTCCGAGATGGGTAGTAGAAATGGTGAGGGATTTCATTCTAAGACATCCTTGCCCATCAAAATTGCAAACACCAAAAATGAAAAAGAGTTGAACTTTCAGAATTCAATAATTTTCTGGCTTTTCTTAAGCGTCTGATATAAAATGATTTCTCTACTAACTACACTTAAATAATTCTGTGAATAAAACCCTCCTGAGTAAAATGCCCTCAACAATATAGACTTGGTTAACACTCTTTCCGAATGCTTAAAAACCCAAAGATAAGGAGACATAAAAGTCTATCAAACATGCTCAGGGATCCAGGTTAGGTCTGTTTCTAGAAAAAGTCACAGACTATGCAACTTCACTCTTCCCTTATGTCCGTCAGGAAGGGTGCTGGTGCAAGGGCTGGGACACTGGACCAGGCAGGAATCTGGACTGAACTGGGATGGACGGCCTCCATCAAGATTCCTCACTAGACAGGGGCAGCTGGGGATCATTTTCAACAGGTTCTGGTCATCCCAGTGAAGTAACTGATCCAGAAAAGTTTTTTCCTTCTGCCTTTTCTATTTTGAAAGTTATCATATATTTTACACATTAAGAGGTTGAAAGAATAATAAATACTTGTGTGTGGCCTCCCTACCATCAAGCAGAACATTGCTCATATTAGTTGAAGAGACCAGGGTAGCACCCCTTTCCCACTTGTATCCCCTTCCTGCTCTCTCCAAAGGTAACCATTGTCCTGAGGTTTGTTCACATGTACTTTATGTTTTTATGACATATCGAGGTGCCCATAAATAATATTCCTAAGTAATATTTAATCCCTGAATAATAATAGCCCTAAAATACGATTTTGCATCTCTTAAACCTTTTGTAAATGATATACATATTAATCTTCTGTAATTTCCCTCAAAATATATTTGCGATATTTATCTATTTTGATACCTGTACCTCAGATTCATTCATTTTCATTGCAATGTGGTATCTATTGAATGACTACATCACTATTAATATTCATTCATTCTTCTGTTAGGGGACTCTGGGGTTCTGGTGACTATTTGGTTAAGATAACTCTGCTATGAACCTCTTTCCCTGGTCCTTGTGCACATATAGAGGGTTTTTCTGAGTTTGAACTTTGGCATAAAACTGCTGGGCATAAACCACATGCATCATCTTTGTTAGACAATGGCAAATGGCTGACAAAATAGGTCAAATTAATTTACACTCCCATCAAAATTTTTATTACTTCCCAACTGACACAGTACTTGGCATTTTCAAACTTAACTTTTGCTAATCTAATGAGTGTGACCATGGTTTTAATTTGCATCTCCACATTGCTAGTGAGGTGAGCAGCTTTTCATATGTTTTTTGGTCATTTGTGTTTTCTTTGTATTATATCTCATTTCTCCTATTTGGATAGTTTTTGTTGTTGTTGATTTGTTAGTTTTTTAACACAGCGACTATTTTTCTGTCAATCTCCATTTTTAATCTTCATGGTGTGGTAGACATTACATGGGTTAAGGAGTCAAAGGCCTTTGGTCTGATTACCAGCTCCACACTTACTAGCTGTGTGGCTTTCAAAACTAACTTAAATCCTCTGTGACTCGGGTTCTTCAGAAGTAATGAGGAACAATAACAATGGCAACTTACTGATCTAAGGGAAACAACAAATGAGATTATGCAGGTGAGAGGGTTTGTAAACTATAAATTGTTATGCAAAGGATGATTGCTATTTCAGTAATCACTATCTTTCCTTGGTTACTTGCTTCTATAAAACCAGGAGAGTCCCACCAAGATATTCCCACCATAGTCATAATCAAGGATGAGTATTTGTTTCTGAGTGAGCAAGTCAAAGGCAGGAGGGTAACAAATGACACTTTCCTCTAAGGTTCTCCTTCACTTTAATCACTGTTAATAAACTCCCAGTCCCCAAGCACACTTTATCCTTCCCTCTGCTATGCCAGAAATTCCTCAAGGTTCCCTGCCAGGTTTAAAGGGTAGTTATTTGAATTATAGTGATTAATGTTACCTATTTTTGAGTTTTAATGTAATCTTGCTATTTAGAAACAGAATAAGAGAACTACTTGTGGTTCTAATAAGACTGCCTTTTATAATTTATGGATATTTTCCACTTGGTGCAATTTTTCAAGTCATCAAGCAAGCGAGTGATAAAGAGCCTTGCAACAATCTCTTTGTGGAGTTACACAGATTTCTGAATGTAAAAGATGGGTGGTCCGTTATCAGAGTTAAAACTAACAACTTGACTGCATTCAACTGCTCACTTTAAAAAATATATAGATGCCTAGACATGCGTCATGCCAAAATTGTTGTAGGTGGGGATGTAAGCAAACATTTGCTTGTTCAGATAGAACTGATTGGGGAGGATATTTATAGACTGTGCTGGATGAATGTCATTTACATGTTGTGAAATAAAAATATGAGCCACCTGGTATATGTCATTCGATGGTGCCAGGACAAGTCCTGGGACAGTCTGGGCTAAGAGCACAAAGGGACGAATTGGAAAGGAATCATTTGATCTATCTTTCAATTTATCCTGTTATAAGTGGGAATTAAAATATCTCCCCTCTTTCCTCTTTCACAGAATGAGAATGAGATCATGTTTGTGAAAACTTTTAATTTTGCCAAGGAAAGGCTCTCCATTAAAATGAGATGGGGCAGCCCCGGCTGATTTGGCTCAGTGGATAGCGTGTCAGCCTGCAGACTGAAGGGCCCCGGGTTTGATCCCGGTCAGGGCACATACCCGGGTTGTGGGCTCGATCCCCAGTGTGGGGTGTGCAGAAGGCAGCCGATTAATGATTCTCTCTCATCATTGATGTTTCTCTCTCTCCCTCTTCCTTCCTCTCTGAAATCAATAAAAATATATTTAAAAAAATAAAAGATGAGGCATTTCTTTTGAAAGCCAAGCACACATTTTCATTGCCGCATTGCCTGCAAGGTTACATTGTTTCCTATATGGCCATTCAGTTTGGGCCATCTTAAGGCCAGATGGTTTCAGGGCTGCTGACATCAAGCTTATTGGTTAAATTTGGTGTGACTGATGAGCTGGGAATCCCCATAGGCTGGTCTCATAATGACCCGATTTCCATTTCTGGGCAGGAGTAAGGAAATGAGACTGAATCTGATGGAGCAGAAGGTTTAAAACGGCCTGACCTGACTCTATGGGAATATTTTCTAAGATAATTGGTTTCTTTCTTAGTTATGGAAATAAAAGTATAATATTGGATACCTCTTGGGTACTTCATCATGTTGGATAAAACAGGGCCCTCTTAAAGCATTGCTTAAAATGGATTTATTTTTATGCCTCTTTTCTCTGCTTCCTCATATTCGAGTCACTGTGGTCTGCAGAATCTTCACCACAGCTTCTCCCATTGACCACTTGCGGTCTGTCTTCCTTGGCTACCACCTTGGACCAGACAAGAATGATTTACTTCACACTTCACTCTCATCCTATAGTCCCCTCGAGTAAGTTCAGACTATTCAACCTTTAGACCTACTGTGTAACACTCTTTGCCAAAAGTCTTTCCAACTTCTTTTTGTCTTCACCACCCAATAAGTTACCATTCTTATAAATACCGAATCTTTACTAGTCACAATTTACAGCTGGCTACTTGCCTTTTAGTTGAGTTCTGCTGTTCCTCCACCCTCAAGTGCACTTCTTTACTGTGTGTAACTTTGTCCCAACCAGATAATCTCTTTCCTTACCTCTTCAA